GAGACCCAGAGTGCAAGCGCGCCTATGAGGAGGCCACAGAGGAGGCGGCTGCAGCTCTACCTGAGGATGCGGGGTGGCCACAGGTGGCAGAGGCGTTGCGCGAGGCAGGGAGGGGCGCGCTTGGCACGGCGAAGTCCGCGACCGCCACCGCGAGGCCATGGGTGCTCGACCACAAGACCGAGGCGAACGAGCACCGCGCGGCCATCGGCCGAGCGACCGCTGCCCTCCGGGAGGCGCATGCCCCAGAGGCGACGCAAGCAGCGCGGCAGGAGCGCAACCGCCTCCGCAACCAGTATCGCAAGGCACGGCGGGGCTGGGGGGCGGACTACTGGAGGGCATTGGCGGACAAGGCTAACGCAGCCGTAGCGGCCAACGACTCGAGGGAGCTGTGCCGCTGCAAGCAACAGGCGTACCCGACGGTTTGCCAGTGCTACCCCGTATCCATGGAGGCTCTCACCAACCTGCAGGAGGAGATCGGAAGCCAGCGCTACGAACGCACACCCAGCGCTATCGAGGCCACCCTCGCCGAGGTGCCAGACAAGCGGCAGGGCTGGAGGTGCAAGGAGGCGGGCGCTCGCTTCGACCGGCCGCTGCAGGGCGAGGAAATCGACGCGGCCTGGAAGCTGATCCTGGATTCCGCCCCTGGGGGAGACCAGGTGAGGGCGCCCTACGTCAAGTGCGCCGGCGCCGGCATGAAGGCTCGGGCCCGCCAGTGTGTCCGCGTTTTCTGGGGCGCTCCTGGGGCGGACATGGCCGAGGAAGTCTGGCTTGCGATCATGATTCCGCTGTGCAAAAAAAGGCCCTAAGCGTGACCCAGCGAACTACCGCCTCATCAGTATGCTCTCGATGCTCACTCGGATCATTGCACGACTCATAGCCACATGTCTCCGGGAGTGGCTGGAGGAAACACACCTCCTCGGGGAATGGCAGGAAGGCTTCTGCGAATCACGGAGCACCAAGGGCGCCTCTTTCGCGACGATCAGGCTGGCCGAGGAGGTGGAGGATATGATCGCAGAACGCCGCGCTGCAACGGGGCGCGGGACGCGGCGCGAGACGCCTGGCTGGGGGCCGAACGACCCCGGGGTGGCACTCTTAGACCTGCGAAAAGCTTACCCACGCACCAGTCGACCCCTGCTGTGGGGCATGCTTCGCCGCAAAGCCGTACCATAACCGATGGTAGTGCGTGCCCGGGCCCTCACTGAGCGCGCGCGGTACTGCATCCGCATGGGAAAGGAGAAAGGCCGTGTGTTCGACATGCAGCGGTCCGTGCGGGAGGGCTGCGCCACCGCGCCGGGACTCTTCATCGTGGTGCACGCAGAGGCCATGAGGCGCGGACGCACACTACGGCACCAGCGCGCAACACAGACGGGCAACTTGCCGGGTGTGCCGTGGCGGTGGAGGCCGGGCGGGCTCAAGCCCCGGCGCAAGCGGACCTGGGCCAACCTCGTGGGAGCGCAGGACATCGGGTTGGAGCACGTGCTGTTCGCTGATGACACCACTGTGTACCACGCCAGGGTTGAGAGCGACGGGGTCGAACGCCTTCAAGCCGGTATGCTGGAGTTCGAGGAGGAATGCAACCTCGGCAAGACCGAGCAGACCTGGCTGACCAGCGACGGCCTGGACACGCGGGTGCTTGGCGCCTGGACCGACCACGCCACAGACACCCAGAAGCGGATCGACCGAACGTGGAAAGCATGGCGCGGGCTGAAAGGGCGACTGCGGCGAATTTCGCTCCATCCCTGCGTGCAGGCCTCCCTGGTGCAGAGCTTCGTGATGAACTCGATGCTGTTCGACTGCGAGGTCCGGCCCTGGCCCCAGCGCGACGTCGACCGCCTCCAACTGGCCATGGGCACAATCTGGCGGCACATCTGGGGCCGATGCCACCGGGCGCCTTTGCCGGTGCGGCAGCGCATGGAGGCGGCGAGCACGAACGCTGCAGACATCCGGCAGTGGCTGGGAGTCCGCACGGTGCTGAGCGTCATCGAGGAGCGGGTCTTGAATCGGCCGCCTGCGCCGCGTGCCGGACAGCAGACCAGTGAAGGCGGCGGCTTCCGGATGGCTGGTGCGTGAAGATGACTACCCGGGCCTGAGGCGCCCCGAGGCGGCGCGACAGACGCCATTGTAGTGGCGGGCCGTGCTGCGCCACGCGGGCGTGGACCCCGACCTCATGGGCTATGCGGCTGCGGACAGGGGGCAGTGGAGGCAGGTGGTGGCCCAGCACTGCAAGTGGCGTGGCGCCCAGGACGCGGCGCGGGCAGGCAAACACCGAGCTCGCTCCGGCGCCCCGGCGCCGCCTGCCCCACCACCGCCGCCGGCCCCGCCGCCAGCCCCCGGGGCTGCAGCGGCTGCAGCAGACTTGCGATGCAGCGTGTGCGGGACAGAGGGGTGGACCAGCGTGCTCGCGCTCAAGAGGCGCATGCAGTGGGGGCGCACGACGCACGGACGCCAGCAATTGTTGTGCCAGAAGGGCTGCGGTCGCACGTTCGCCTCGGAGGGACACCGCGCCAATCATGAGCGTGCCTGCCAGGGCTCCGAGGCCGCCAATGCAGCCGCGCGCAAGGGGCAGGGCAAGATGCGCAAGGCTGAAATGCTGGGGCGACAGCAAGAGGCCAGGGCTGCTGGCGTGGCACCGCCACGCGTGCCCCGAGGGCGCAGGGCCGCGGCGCCCGGGGCCGAGGCCGAGGCCGCCCCGAAGCCGGCGCCGAAGGCCCGGCAGCAGCCCAAGGCGAAGGCCAAGGCGAAGGCCAAGCCGCAGGCCAAGCCGAAGGCCAAGCCAAAGCCCCAGACGAAGCCCAAAGCAGGGGCGCCGGCCCAGGCGGCCGCGGGCAAGGCGAAGGCCAAGGCCAAGGCGCGCTGACGCCCCCCTCACATCGGGCCGGAGCCCGCGGGTGCTCCCAGGCAGCGCATGCACCTCACCGTGTGCCTGGCGGTGTTCCAACCCTCCCCAGTGCGAGCCGCCCTCGGGCGGGGCTGGGGGGGGCCCCTGGGGGGAGGGCGGCTGGCTGCCGCGGCGGCGCCGCCACCCCGGGCGATTCTGGTGCCGGACTGGGCGGATTGACGCAACGGCCCTGGTCCCCTGGGGGCCAGGCGGCGGTCGGCTGCCGCGGCGGTGGCCGCTGCCCGGGGCGCCGTCCGCGCCCCCGAAGCCGCGGTTGCCATCCGCCTTGCTGGGGGGGGAGGAGGGGGGCAGCTGAAGGGGCAGAGGAGCACTCATTGAGGAGGAAGAGGAGGAGGAGGCGAGGAGGAGGCAGAGGCAACTGCACATCCCTCGGCGAGCTGGTGCCCTCGCGCGCCCCACCCAGGCCTCTCTGCGGCCCGCGCAGGGTCCCGTGCCGTGCCGAAGCCCTTCGGCCAGGCGTGCTATGGCTTCTGGCAGGGCGGCGACTTCATCAAGAACGATGAGCCGCAGGGCAACCAGACTTTCTGCCAGATGAACGAATGTATCCCCGAAGTCGCGAAGGCCATGCGCGCGGCCCAGGAGGAAACGGGCCAGGGCAAGTTGTTCTCCGCCAACATTACGGCGGATGACCCGAACGAGATGATCGCGAGTGCCAAGTGCATCTTGAACCAGATGGGCCCGATGGCGGAGAATTGCGCTGTCTCGGTCGACGGCTACGTGGCTGGCGGCACTGCGGCGCAGTGACCAGCCCGCAGACGCAGCGCGGGTATTCCGCTTTCGTGCACGCCAATTTGTCGCGCGTCATCGGTGCCAGCGGCATCCGCGCGGGCGCGATGGGCTGTGGCAAGATGGAGGGCGACGCTTCGGACAAGAACAGCGGATTCCTGCTGCAAGACGACGTCGCCGACGGCCCCTACTACCGGCGGGAGTTGGGGGGGCATGAAGCAGACCACCCCGATCATTCCGGGTGGCATGAACGCTTTGCGGCTGCCTGCGTTCTTCGAGAACTTGGGCCGCTCGAGCGTTATCCTGACGGCCGGCTGTGGGGCTTTCGGGCACAAGGACGGGCCTGAGCAGGGCGCGATCTCGTGCGCCCAGGGCGAAGAGTCGTGGAAATTGTGGATGGCAGGCACCTGCGGCGACGCGAGCCTGTCGGACGGCGTCGTCGAGTATGCGAAGACGCACGAGGAGCTCAAGGGCGCGTTCTTGACGTTCCAGAAGGATGCGGACCAGATCTACCCGGGCTGGAAGGAGAAGCTCGGTTGCGCGGGCGAGTCCTCCGTCCAGGCAGCCAGCTTCAGATGGCAGAAGACGGAGTTGGCCGCGGCGCTTGTTGGCGCCAGCAAGGCTCGCAAAGCGAGCTCTGTGACCCGCCGGGCCCTGGGCCAGTCGAGCCGCTGCGCGGACCTCTCGCTGACGGAGGGGGACCTGATCAAGAACGGCTAGCACGTGTTGATGGCCTACACCATGAAGCCCGATGCGGGCTACGACTACCTGGCCACCGCGGCGCACTTCGCGGTGGAGTCCTCTACAGGCACGAACGTGAACGTGTGCGCCACCGACGACTTCACAAAGACTGTGGACGCGCTCGTCTATTACATCGACCCAGAGCATGAAGAGATGAAGATCGCCTACCCGACGGCCTTGTCGACCGCAACATCACCGACGGTCGCGCCATGATGCGTTCCGTGCTGACTCTGAGCATCGGGAACAACCAGGGCATGGGTGGCGTCGGCTACGGCAAGATCTATGATATTTATTTCCCGCCGCAGTACCTGCGCCTGTTCGACGGGCCGTCGTGCTGCGTGATCGACATGCGGCGCATCCTGGGCCGCGGCACGGTCGGTGGCGGCTTGGTGGTCGGCACCATCATGAAGCCCAAGCTCGGCCTGCAGCCGAAGCCCTTCTCTTGTGACAGCGCGTCCGTGAGCAGATCGAGGAGAGGGCGACGGTGGTACTGACAGCCTCCGCGTGGCTGCAGCCGGTAATGCTCCCTGCCGTTGCGGGTCGAGCAGCTGATGGTCAGACCAGCCCTGAGGAGATGCGAAGGGGTGCCGCCCTGAGGGCGTCAGTCCCGGCTGCTGCTCCTCGTGGGAGCGAGGCGACCGTGGTGGGTCCAGCCGCGGCGGCCTCCGGCGAAGCCGGCAACTACGCAGGACGTGAGGGGCGCCGGGGAGGCCGGCGAGTGGAGGGAGTGCTGCGCAGGACGCGGTCCCATCGGACTCGTCTGAAAACCGCGGCGGAGGAGGGATACGAGGCGCAACAGGAGAGGAGGCATGCCAGATGCCAGAGGCGGGAGCTGAGGAGGAGGGAGCACCGCATGCAGAAGATGGCGGCCAAGAGGGAGGCCTGGCGCATACAGCGCCGTGCGGAGGAGCGTGCGGCAGCAGAGAGGAGAGAGGAGGAGGAGGCAGCGCAGGCAGCAGCGCGGGAGCAGCGGTACAGGCAGCAGGTGGCCTGCTGGAACATCCGCCGCACGTCGGTGGACAACATGGGGCGCTGGGAGGAGGTGATCGCAGCGGCCAGCACGAGAGGCTGGGGAGCCGTTTGTGTCTCCGACCTGGTGGCAGTGGACGCCGGTGAGGTGCAGCTGGCGGGACCAGACGGCGAGGAGTGGCTGCTGGTGCACACCCGCCGCGCGGGCGTGCTGCTCAGTCCGCCGTGGCTTGAGGCTTGGAGGAGAGCAGGATCCAGATGGGGCGGCGCAGGTCGGGTGGCCTACGTCGACTTGCCGGCGCTGCGGGTCGTGGCCGTGTACCACCCCCTCGCGCGCCACCCAAGGGCGGAGCGGGGCGCCTGCCGCAGGGCTATCGAGGACGCCGCCGCCACGATGTCGCAGAATCGCTGGCTCTTGGTGGGTGGGGATTGGAACAGCATTGTGGGAGCTGAGGCCGACGTGGCCTCCAGATGGCGAGGCCGCCACGCAGCCAGCACGTCCAACTTGGCCGGGCGCAGCCTGCTGGCTTGGGCACAGGGACTGGACCTGTCGTTCGTGGACTCTTTCTTCGCTTTCCCGCGGAGGGGCACCTGGTGGCATGCCAGATTGCGCCAGAGCTTCGAGATCGACGGTTTCTGGGCCACAGCGTCCGAGTGGCGGCGACACGTCACTGCTGTTCGCGCCTCCCACGCGCTCCACATCTCCGACCACTCAGCCAAGGTGGTCCAGCTGGAGCATCCCCTCGGCGACAGCGGCCCGAGGTTGAACAACCGGCGGGCTCGGCACAATCCAGAGGGCCGCATTCAGCACGAGCGTCTCCGGGACACTGAGCGCAAACGCGCGTACGAGGAGGCCACTGAGCAGGCGGCAGATACGCTACCCGAGGAGGCGGGATGGCCCGAGATCGCCGCGGCGCTCTGCGAGGCCGGGAAGGCGACACTGGGCACGGCGAAGTCCGCGGCCCTCACGGCAACGCCCTGGATGCTCGCCCACAAGACCGAGGCGAACGAGCACCGCGAGGCCATCGGCCGCGCGACAGCGACCCTCCGAGAGACGCAGACCCCGGAGGCGACGCACGCAGCGAGGCAGGAGCGCAACCGCCTCCGCAACCAGTACCGCAAGGCACGGAGGGGCTGGGAGGCGGACCATTGGCAGGCCCTGGCGGACCGGGCGAACGCTGCCGTCGCGGCCAACGACTCCAGGGAGCTGTACCGATGCCTGCAACAGGCGTGCCCGGCGGCCCACCAGAGCCACCCGGTCTCCGTGGAGGCGCTCACCAGCTTGCAGGAGAACATTGGCAGCCAGCGCTATGAACGCACGCCCGGCGACATCGAGACGACCCTGGCGGAGGTTCCGGATAAGAGGCAGGACTGGCGGTACAAGGAAGCGGGAGCTCGCTTTGACCGACCGCTGCTCGACGCGGAGATCGATGAGGCTTGGGAGCTCCCGCAAACTACCGCCTCATCAGCCTGCTCTCGATGCTCACTCGGATCGCAGCGCGGCTCATAGCGACACGCCTTCGCGTGTGGCTGGAGGAGACGCAGCTCCTCGGGGAATGGCGGCAGGGCTTCCGCGAGACACGGAGCACCAAGGACGCCTCGTTCGTCACGATACGACTGGCCGAGGAGGTGGAGGAGCTGATCGCCGAACGGCACGCCGCCACGGGACGCGGGACCTGGCACGAGGCGCCTGGCTGGGAGCCCGACGACCCCGGGGTTACGCTCTTGGACCTGCGGAAAGCCTATCCACGCACCAGTCGCCCCCTGCTGTGGGGAACGCTCCGCCGCAAGGCCGTGCCAGAGCCGATGAAGGCCAAGGCCAAGGCGCGCTGAGACCTCCCACCTCGAGCCGGAGACCACGGGTGCTCCCTGGCAGCGCGTGCACCTCTCCAGGCGCCTGGCGGTGCTCCACCCTCCCCAGTGCAGCTGCCCACGGGTGGGGCTGGGGAGGCGCCCCTGGGGGGAGGGGCGGTGAGCTGCCACGGCGGCGCCGCCACCCCAGGCGATACTTGTGCAGGACGGGATGGATTGACGCAGCGGCCCTGGGCCCCCAGCGGCTGGCGGCGGAGGTCGGTTGCCACGGCGATGGCCCCGCTGCCCGGGGCGCCGTCCACGTCCCCCTGACGCCAAGGTTGCCATCCGCCTGGTCTCCTTCCGGCTGTTCTGTGAGGAAAAGGCGAAAGCACTGAGGAGGAGGAGGAGGAGGAGGCGGCAGCAGAGAGGGTAGAGGAGGAGAGGAGGAAGAGGCGAGAGCCGCAGAGGAGATCCGTGCAGAGGAGGAAGAGGCGAGGGCAGCAGAGGAGGCAGAGGAGAATTCAGTGAGGAGGTGGAGGAGGCGCGGAGGAGGCAGAGGCAGCAGCACCCCCCCTCGGCGAGCTGGTGTCCTCGGGCGCCCCACCCAGGCCGCTCTGCGGCCCGTACAGGGTTCCGAGCCGAGCCGAAGCCCTTCTCCTCCGGGGGCGGGGCTCGGCTGGTACTGACAGCTTCTACGAAGCGCAGGCCGGAAATGCTCCCTGCCGACCGTTATGGCGCGGGTCGAGCAGCTGATTGTCAGACCAGCCCTGAGGGGAAGCGAAGGGGTGTACTTCAAAGAAGTGCAGTCCCGGCTGCCGCCTCTCAAGGGAACGAGGCGAGCGCGGTGGGTCCAGCCGCGTGGGCCTCCAGCTCGCTACCAAGGGCCTCCCCTAGGACCACCCTTATGGCCTCGGACCGGGAGTTCAGCCTGGCTGGTCAAGTGGGACCTGGGCATACATGTCCTTCCTCATGCAGGGTTTTTTTGGGAGCTTGCCTCCTCCCCTGTAGTTCAGGTGCAAGTGGCGCTGATTGCTGGTTCCGACGACTGGTGAAGGGTTGCTCCCATGCCGCTGGCTGTTCGGGCTCTGTGGAGGGGGCGCAGGTGGCCAGAGCTGACAACTACGTTGGACGTAAGGGCACCGAGGCACTGAGTGGGAGCCACCCCTCAGCGAGCGTTTCTCCCATCAAGGGCCTACTTGGAACGCTCCTGGGGCTGTGCAGCTGGCTTCCCACGAGGTCCACCCCGGTCGCTCACCCAGGCCGCGCTGCGGCCCGTGCAGGGTTCCGTGCCGTGCCGTGCCGAAGCCCTTCGGCCAGGCGTGCTATGGCTTCTGGCAGGGCGGCGACTTCGCCAAGAACGATGAGCCGCAGGGCAACCAGACTTTCTGCCAGATGAACGAATGTATCCCCGAAGTCGCGAAGGCCATGCGCGCGGCCCAGGGGGGGGCGGGCCTGGGTAAGTTGTTCTCAGCCAACATTACGGCGGATGATCCGAACGAGATGATCGCACGTGCCAAGTACATTTTGAACCAGATGGGCCCGATGGCGGAGAATTGCGCTTTCTTGGTCGACGGCTATGTGGCTGGCGGCGCTGCGGTGACCGTTGCGCGCCGCGCCGTAATTTCCCGAAGCAATTCCTACACTACCACCGCGCCGGCCACGGCGCAGTGGCCAGCCCACAGACGCAGCGCGGGTACACCGCCTTCGTACACACCAAGTTGTCGCGCGTCATCGGTGCCAGCGGCATCCACACGGGCGCGATGAGCTTTGGCAAGAGGGAGCAAGAGAGATACCTCCACGCGGGGCTCCCGGACGGCTGCTGCCTGGCAGCCAGACCGACATCTCTGGCCGCAGCATCCCCAAGGATTGCAGAGAGTTCGAGGGCTCAACAGTTTCACCAGGGGCACGTTCGTGGTCATTCATGGCGTACCCTCTTTTGCCTATTTCTACTTGCGGTCCCTGCCCAGGCAGGGCGTACTGACAGTTCTGGGATTGAGAACTATCTAGCCAAGGGAGGATGTCTGATGAGTGGGGTGGTGGAGACAACGTACTTGGGGATTGGTACTGGTCTACTCCTACTTCGCTTTCTACTTCTTCTTTCAGTTTTGTACTTCCTGTACTTCCTGATGCACTTCCTGCTGGTGCACTTCCTGCGGCACGGTCTCCGGGCCCACCTGGGGACAGAGCGGCAGCAGCAGCAGCAGCAGCCGGTGAGCCTGCCGGGGGACGCGTGGAGGGCCCACGCTCGCCCGCTCTACGGTGGGTGGCCTGCCCGCCACGCGGGTACCCGGCGACTCCCCGGCAGGAGAGTGAGGCGCCTGTTCCACGGGCTCCCAGCGACGTCCCAGCACCCGCACGGTGCAATGGGCGCGGCGATAACCCGCGCGCGCCTGCGGGCGCTTCACCACCAGCACTGCGCCCAGCAGAGGCGGAATCACAAGACGAGGCGACGGCGGGCGCGCCGCCGTGCCCGGACCAGAGCCGGCGCCGACGTGACGCCCATGCACGCCAGCAGCACCGACAGCAACGAAACGACACCTGAATCAGCCCCTGAGGCGCCACCCTGCGACGGCAGCACCAGTGGCGGCCAGGCGGGCCCCCCAGGCGAGGAAGCGGCGCCGAGGAGGCGCAGCGCGCAGCCCTGCAGAAGCCCACTGGTGCGGCCAGGAACGCAGCTGCGGCCACCTGGCGGCCAGGAAGAGGGCAGGTGCGGTGGGATTCAGCCCCACGTCGTCGCAGCATCTGCCCTCGGCGGCGGCAGGGATGCACGGCCTGCGCCTCCGCCACGCCCACGGATCCGAGCCTGCGCCGCCGCCACGCCCACCCAGGACACCAGCAGCAGCAGCCACAGCAGCACCAGCACCAGCACCAGCACCAGCAACGACGACAGCACTAGTAACGACAGCAGCATTCACACCAATGACTGCACAGCAATGGGGGACGTCCAGGGCTGGCGGGCTCGGAGGAGGGCACGCCGCCGTGCTCGGATCCGAGCCTGCGCCGCCGCCACGCCCACCCAGGACACCAGCAGCAGCAGCCACAGCAGCATCAGCACCAGCACCAGCACCAGCAACGACGACAGCACTAGTAACGACAGCACCAACACAAGCACCAGCAGCGACGACAGCAGCAGCAGCCACGACGAGGGTGCGGAGGGCGATGTCCCCGGCTGGCGTGCCCCAGACGGGCAGCTGATCCCCAATGTGCGGATGGGGGGGCGCCCGCCGGCTGTCACTCCAGAACTCGCCGTGGCCATCACGGCGGCCATCACGGCGGCCCTTGGAGGGGGCCCTCGGCGGCCACAACAGCCGACTCAGGGACGCAAGCGCCGGAGGGCCAACAGAGCGGCGGCGGCGGCTGTGCGCAAGACACAGCAGTCGCAGCAGCAGCAGCAACCAGCCAACCAGCAGACCAAGCAGCCACCGAGCCCCTCCGCGCCTCCCGACTGGGCGCGGCGAATTGGAGAGGCTGATGCGGCCACGCTGGCACAGATCGAGGCGGTGGTCGCGGCGCGGCGCCACCAACTCAAGCAACCAGCGCCGCCGCGCGGCACCCCGCAGCCACCCCAGCAGCAGACCTCCAAGCCCCAGCCAGGTGCACGTGTCGGGCGCTGGCGGGTTAACGAGCGATCCTTCGGCGATAAGACTTTCACATCTTCTACCAAGGTGCTGGAAGCTCTCCGGGAGGGCAATGACCCCGCCGGGGACGTCTGCGTGATGAGTGCGACCCAGCTCCAGGAGGCGCAGGCCCTAGCCACCCAGCACGAGATCGCCAAGCCGTTTCTCATGGTGTGCCCAGACACCCCAGCAGACGAAGCTCCACCCGGCTCCAACGTGTCTTACGTGGAGGCCCTAGTACAAGGTCGACCGACCCTGAAACGATGCACCACCGTGACCCTTGGCTCGGGAGACGGGGGCAAGTCCGCCCCGCCGCTCCGAGCCGTGGAGGGCGCCGCCGCCCCAGCACAGCAAGATTCTGTCACCTTGCGCTGCACAGTAAAGCGAGAGTACACCACCCCTGCGGAATGGACCTCCGCCAGGCAGAACCCTGGGGAGTTCGCTACCCGCGGGATGCCTCTGGCTAGTGTCGTGGCCGCCGAAGGGTTTGCGGAGAAAGTTGACAGCAAGAGCAGCCGGGTGCTCGAGGCCCATATGTACATCAAGGTACTGCGGGCAGACGCAGATAAACTCATCACTACCTTCAGCGGGTCATCTGGCCGGTTCTACCGCGTCATCGCCCGCGACAGGGGCAAGACGCCTGACGACTACCCCGTGCGGTGGATCGCCCGGCACAAGGATGAGGAGAACGAGCTGTACCACGCGAGAGTCATGAAGATTGCGACGGACGAGGCCGAATCCAAGGGGCTCGTGCTTCGCCCTGGCAGCAACTCTGACCTTGGGGTGCGAGGCCTCCGGCCGACTGAGACCCCACTCAGCACCTGGCGGATCCATGGCGTCAACGAGTGGGCCCCAGAAATGCTGACGGGGTGGCTGACAAACAGCGGATGGAGACAAGTCGAGATACGCGACAAGCCCTCGGGACGGTTCGGGTGGCTGGTCCGCGCGGACCCGCACCACAGCAGACCGGGCCACGACACCACTACCAAGGCAGATGCCTGGAAGATCACCTTCCCCGGTGACACCGGCAGAGCGGCGGTCAGGGTGGAGCGGTACGTCATGGCTCCACGGGGCTCGCAGGAGGAGGTGAAGACAGTCAAGACGAGGCGCGCTCGGTGGGCCCGCAGCCAGGGCGCTGACGCCGGCAAGCCCGTGTATGAGGTCGCATACGAGCAGGCCTGCCGGGCCCGGGCCGCCGCCAGGGCGGAGGAGGATGCAGACCTAGAGGGCATGGAAGCCTCGGATCGGGCCAAAGCCGCTGAGGAGCGAGCGACACGGCGCAACCAGGAGGACGCTCGGGCAGCGCAGACGCTGACCGAGGAGCGAGACCGCGCTAAAGCAGCGGCCGACGCGAAGGCGGAGGAGGCGAAGGCCAAAGCCGCTACGACCCAACAGCCGCAGCAACCACCCCAGCAGCAGCAGACAGCAGAGGCTGCCCCGACCTCGGAGGCCCGAGCGGAGGGAGCCTCGAAACCGACAGCACCTGCGCAGCAGCCCACTCGAGCCGCGACTAAGGGCTGGGCCAAAGACGACTTCGAAGAGATCGATGCTGGGACGAACGGTGGTGACTGCCAGTACCGGCACACTGCCATCGCCTACTTCTTGGCCCATGGTAAAGCCAAGGCGGACTTGGTCAAGCCCGCCAAGGCCGCCAGCCTGGCGAAGACCATGCGTGCCGAGGTGGTCGTGGAGCTCGAGAACAACAGGGAGTACTACGAGCCCTTCATCAAGCACATCCCAGAGCACGTGAGTGACGAGTCCAAGCCTACGACATGGGAGGATTACATACACCTGATCAAGACCAAGCCTACACGATGGGGCGATGCGGCGGTCACCCTCGCTGCTGCCACACACCTGCACAGTCAGATCTTCATTTACACTGGGGGACTTCTGGAAGGTGACAAGTGGCGGTGGCTGCAGCGGTGGGATTGCTGGCCGCGCGAGAGCGCCGGCAAGGCGGTCCGGGGGGCTCTCGACAACCCTCCGCTGCACTTGGGGTTCCGGGGTGGGCACTGCTTCGTGCTTGTTCCCCGTGACCAGAGCTTCAGGTCGCAGCTCAGCCGCAAGCGCCCCAAAGAAAAAGAAGTCATCAAATTTATAGAGAAGATCCCTCGTGTAGGTATGCCCTCTCGGGCGGCCTCCCAGTCCAGTACAGACTCCTTCTTTCGCGACCTGCGGCAGCGCCGTGCGGTGGACGTCCAGAGCCACAGGAGCTCCGTCGACTCGGATTTCGCTGCCTTGCGACGGCGCCGTGCAGACAAGGAGGAGGAGGAGGAAGCACCAGGAAGCAGATCAGGAGGTAGAGGAGGAGGACGAGGTACTTCCAGCGCAGCACCAGGAAGCATATCAGGAGGTAGAGGAGGAGGACGAGGCACTTCCAGCGCAGGAGGCAGAGGACGAGGACGAGGAGGACGAGGACGAGGCCGTTCCAGAGCAGGCGGCCGAGTTCGAGGGCATACGATGGCCTCGACGCTTCTGAAGCGGCAGAAGCAGGCACCAGCACCAGCAACGACGACAGCCCCGACACCAGCACCAGCACCAGCAGCGAGTAACGACAGCAGCACCGACACCAGCAGCCAGCATCAGCGAGCACCAGCACCAGCAACGGCGACAGCACCAGCACCGAAGCAGGCACCAGCACCAGCAACGACGACAGCCCCGACACCAGCACCAGCACCAGCAGCGAGTAACGACAGCAGCACCGACACCAGCAGCCAGCACCAGCGAGCACCAGCACCTGCAACGGCGACAGCACCAGCACCGACAACCAGCACCGCAAGCGGAAGTTGGCAGTGCACGTGCGGCTGGAGCACGCAGTGCGGGAGCCGCAAGCTGCTCCTGGAGCGACGGCGGGAGCACCTCCGGCGTTGCCATCCAGATGTCGCCGCGCTGCGTGTCAACGGGGCGCCCCTCAGCCGACTCTCACACGAGGTTCCGATCGAGGAAACGGTCTGGACCTGCCAGCTGTGCAGGGTCCGACAGCGCGACTGCGGCACCATCCGCCAGCAGAGGGAACAGCGGAAAGCACATCGCAGACAAGCACACCCCGCCGTGACGGCGAAACAGTGGACCTCCATGGAACTGTCGGCCCGGAACTATGCGCGCCACGCCACGGTGAAGGGCCAGGAGGCGGTCAAGAAGGGCCTCGGCGCCCTGACCGCCGAGGCACGAGAGGCGGCCAGAGCGAAGCGGCGAGCGTCCGGGGACCTGGCATACTTTGTCAAGGTGCAAGGACACGACCTTGTCCCCATCCACCTGGAAGGCGGGCACCCAAGCAGGCCCAAGCGCACAAGATTCGCCACGTGCAAGTTGTGCAACTTGTTAGTCCATGACAGCAACTTCAGACAGAGCAGCCGGGGCCGCCTTGGGCCCCTCTTCGGGCACCTGCGCCCCTGCCCAGGGCCAGTATGGAGCACAGAGTGCGCACCCTGGTTGTCACAGACCTTCTTGCGCATCTGGCACACGCTGACCGAGACCGACAAGCAGGCCTTGCGCGGGACGTGGTCCTCTCAGCCCCCTGCTCGCCTGCAGCAGCTCAGCACAGAGCTCGCCACTCTGGCTGTCGGCACCTTCAAGTACAAGCGGCCCGGGGCACGGTCCCCCTTTGACCTTACGAGATGCCCAGAAGGGTACAAGGGCGAGACAGAGGTGCTCGACAGGATGGCGGCCCTGGTCCGGCGGTTCCTGGGCCCTCAGGCCGCCCAGGGGCGAGAGGATCTAGCCATGGTGCCGCTACGCATACATCGATGCTAAGGCGGGGCCTCCTCCCCAGACAGAGGATAGCAATCAGCACACAGCAGAGATCGCGCAGTTTGCAACAGTGAATGTGTCGACTTTTCACAAGCACCGAGACGCCTTACTGGCCGCCGCCACCAGGCAGAAAGCGGAAATCGTTCTGATTCAGGAGACCAGACTGGATCAGACTGAGCTGGCCGGCTCCGCAGCCCTGTTTCGCAAGGCGGGCTGGGGCCTCGTTTGGGGCTCCGACGGGCAACCCTGGCAGCTACCCAGCAGAGGGCGACAAGCGGCTAAATTCGGCGGATTGGCCCTAGCAACACGCAGCGGCTGGCATGCCAGGAGACTCGATAGCCACAGGGACCCTGGTGGCGAATTCGCCGTCTTCGAAGTGACCAGGCAGAAGGACAGGATGATTGTATACAACATTCACAGACGCGACGCAGCGACTGACGCTCAAGCAAAGGCCTTTGACGATGCCCTCGAAACCTCAGTGGCCTCACACCCGCGGTCGAGCAATCTGCTGCTTGGAGGCGACTGGAACGAGCCGGCGGCGGAGGGCACCATTGCTGTGCAGGCCGCGTGGCAGGCGCATGCGGCAGTGCTCCTGGCAGACCCTGGTGGCCCCACCCGGTGGCAGGCCAAGGAGGACAGCGGTGCGATCGATTACTTTCTTCTCCGCCTTCAACGAGGCTGGGGAGTCAGCGCAAGAGTCTGCGACGACGTCATTGCGGACCACAAGATGGTGGTTGTCTCTTTTCCCTGCCAGCACCTCAAGGCCGACGAGGGCACGCAGCGGTGGCGAAACGCAGGCACCTTCACAGCACCGACAGACGACGCCGACGCCTACAAGCACTGGCAGGAGACCCTCGCGGGCGCCGCCTGGGAGCCTTACGAGCACGCTGCAGACTGCGATATAGATGCCTGGTGGACCTCCTGGAGCGACCGGGCAGAGGACCTCCTTCGCCGGGCCAGCCGCCGGCCAGAGGCGGGCCCCCGCAAGACGGAGCTGAAGCGGGTCCCAATCCGCCAGGAAGAGATCCTCGACGGCATGACCTGCCGGGAGCGAGGTCTGAGGACCTTGGTGGGGCTTGGGCACGCGGTGCTGGCCCTACCGAGCAAGAGAGACGGCCGCGCGGCCCAGCAGCGCCAGCACCTTGCCCAAGAGCTACACGCTGCTGCACAGCACCTGCAGATACCACACAAGGGCCAGACCCCGAAGGACGTTCTCCGGAGCGCCGAGGAATGCCTGGAAAAAGAGTTGGCAAAGAACAAGCAGGAGCGTATCCGGGCCTGGCGACGCAACATGACCAGCATGGGGCGCAAGGCTTACGCATGGATCAAGGGCGACACGGTCGCTGATCCTTCTGCCTTCAAGCCAAGGGCCCCAGACGGTACTGTATGACGGCTCGGACGCTTTGGAGAAGGTGGAGTGGGCGTTAGTCGCCCTTTATCTTACATTGTTGGTGTTTCTGGGACCCTCTTCCTTCCTTTCTTCCCACTGTTTTTCTTTTTTTTCTTTTTTTTATTTTTATTTTTTTTTTGTTTTTTTTTTTTCTTTTTTTTATTTTTTTTTTTTTTCTTTGTTTTTTGTTTTTTTTTTTTTTTCTTTTATTTTTTTTATTTTTCTTTTGCCGATATCCGCAACAGAGGCACAGACGTGGAGGGTTTTTGCACCGACTTCGCAGGAGAAATTGCTGAGGTCAAAGCACGGATTCAGCAGAGATTTGACCGCCTGCCGGCACCTATCCGGCACCTAGAGAGCAGCTTCTCGGAACCGACCCTGAGGGACTTCCGACGCAGCCTGCACAAGATGCGGAAAACAGCGGGGGGAGTCGACGGCTGGCGGGCTTCCGAGCTCCTCTACTTGCCCGACGACGCGCTGGAGGAGCTGAGGGACCTCTGCCTGCACGCGGAACGCCAGGGACGTTGGCCTCGTCCTTTCCAGCTCCTCCGCCAGGTGATGATCCCCAAGAGCGACGGCAACAAGCAGTACCACAAGCTCCGCCCGATCGCCATTGGGCCTACGGTGACTCGAGCATGGCTGCGCCTACGCTGTGCACAGATCGCGGACCACCTGCACGCGGGCTTCGACACCTGCCAGGCGGGCGGGCTCACCGGCAGGCGGCTTGAGACCTTGGTAGACCCCCTCCTTGAGAAGATCGAGGAGGCAGTTCTGGCGCAGGAGATAGAGGAAAGCGGCGTCGACGAAGACGAGTTGGACAGGATCTGGGACGAGCCCGCCTTCCAGGAGCTGTGGCATGACACGTTTGTGCGCGCCTGGGACTTCGCTTCCGCCTTCGACACGGTCTGCCCGGACCTGGTCTCGGCCCTCTGGCTCGACTGGGGTATCCCAGACTACATTGTCCGCAGTGTTCACAGCCTCTGGCAGCGCCAGGAGAGATGGATCGAGCTCGGGGGGTGCGTAGCGAAACGCCCAGTCGACGTCAGCGCCTCGATGCCCCAAGGCTGCGTGTGTGGCATGCTGGGCATGGCGTCTGTTCTTGCCCCTGCAGTGTGGCGGCTCCGCAGGACCGTGCCGGCCGCGGTGCTGTCGGTGTACGCAGATGATCGCACGGCGGCTGTCCCCTCGAGGCAGCACATGGACGAGGTGGAGGGCGTCTGGGCGCAGCTGGAGGAGCACACCGCCCTGCGTTCTGCGCCGAGCAAGCAGGCTGATTTCGCGGTCCACGTGACCCGGCGGAGGCAGAAGAGACGGAAGCTGCATCGTTGCGAGGGTCTTGGCAACTCCGTGGGTGCAGAGCAGATCAAGGTCTTGGGCCTGGAACTCATGCTTGGCAAGGGTGCCGCCCTGACGGAGGCAGAGAGATCCAAGTTGGCCATTTGCAAGCGGCGCATTGGCCGGATCAGAGCCCTCCCCTCGACGGTGGGGCACAAGAGGGCAGCTGTCGGCGGGTGTGCCCTCGCATCCCTGTCGTGGGCCGCCGTCCTGAGGTGGCTGCCACGGACAGCCCTGAGCGACCTGGAGGCGGCGATCCGGCGCAGCCTGCGCCCGGGCAAGGGCACCTCGGCGTCGAGGCATCTGCTGGACCTCGTCGCGGTGCAGCACGCGGCCAGCCCGCGCTACCTCCTGGCGCGCCGCCTGTGGGCCTTCGCCGCAGGCCGGTGCGCCAGGAGTGGCGCGGCGAAGCTCCAGAGCTTCCTGGATCTCAGACTGAGATACGGCTTGGAATGTGCAGGGGTGACAGGAGCTCTCCTTCACTACATGCGCCTGCTGGGGTGGACCTTTGGCCCCGGACAGGGAGGCGCGGGCGTTTTCACGTCCAGCGCTGCCGCGAGACGGCTGCAGGTGCCTTTGACGGCGCCGCCGGGGGAGCGAGACCACGCTCTCCGGATGGCGCTCCGCCAGGATCTGTGGCAGGCGTATAAGGAGTCCAACCGCCGTGATGCTCATCTGGCCCGAGCCGAACAGGTCCCGTACTGTCATCGTGCCGGCCTCGTGGTGATGAAGCTGATCAGCGGTAAGCGGGCGACAGGAGCCGTGCACTACCTGAGTGTACTGACGGGAGACTACTGGTCCGACAGCCGGCGGGCCGTGGCTCGAGGAGACGACCCAGCAGCCACTCTGTGCACCAGGTGCACCGCTGGCGCAGTAGCCGGAGCCGAGCATGATTTCTGGGGCTGTGACCTCTTCCGGCCCTGGCGGAGAGGAGTGCCGGTCCCAGCATCCGCCTTCACGCGGAGGACGGGCTGGCCCTGCCGGCCTCTGAGAGGGCGACGACAGATGAACGCTTTCAGGCAGCGCATTGACCTCATGGCGAGCGTGCGCGAATGCACGGTCCACTGTGCACACGAGCGCTTGCGGATGCAGCGCCGGGCCGCCACCAGCAGCAGCTCACACCAGCGACCACCAACACCCACAGCCGATGCACGGGTTCGCCCCTCCGACGAGCACAGCCAACCACCAACAGCAGCCACCTGCAGCAGTGACCCACAGCTCCCACCAACACCACTCCGAAGTGCGCAGCGTTTGCGCCACTCCTCACCTCCCTCGACGCGCCGCTCGTCGGCCGAGGGGCTCAGGGAGGAGGCGGGGATGGTGGAGGGGGAGGAGAGGGAGGAGGACGACGACGACGGCAGCACCAGCAGCTTCATAGACGACATGGACGACAGCACAGCAGCAGCAGCACACGACAGTGACGACGACTGCGGTAGCACCGACTGCTTCATTGACGTCACGGACGACAGCACTGCAGCAGCAGCACACGACAGAGACGACGACGACGGTAGCACCGACAGCTTCATAGCCGACACGGACGATCAGCACCAGCAGGAGGCAGATGAGGAGGGAGGACGCCGTGCCGGCGCAGCTCTTGCAGCTGATGCTGGAGCAGCGGCCCCCGCCTGAGGACTTGCGCAGCCGACCACCTACCTCTCCTGAGGTGGGCCTCCGACCTCCCCTGAGGTCGACCACTTTTGTGGTAGAACCTTCGATGAAGGTTCGATCTTGGCGCTGAGCTTTGGCAAGATGGAGGGCGACGCTTCGGACAAGAACATCGGATTCATGCTGCAAGACGACGTCGCCGACGGCCCCTACTACCGGCAGGAGTGGGAGGGCATGAAGCAGACCACCCCGATCATTTCGGGTGGCATGAACGCTTTGCGGTTGCCTGCGTTCTTCGAGAACTTGGGCCACTCGAGCGTTATCCTGACGGCCGGCTGTGGGGCTTTCGGGCACAAGGACGGGCCGAAGCAGGGCGCGATCTCGTGCGCCCAGGGCGAGGAGTCGTGGAAGTTGTGGAAGGCAGGCACCTACGGCGACCTGAGCCTATCGGTCGGTGTCGTCGAGTACGCGAAGACGCACGAGGAGCTCAAGGGCGTGTTCTTGACGTTCCAGAAGGATGCGGACCAGATCTACCCGGGCTGGAAGGAGAAGCTCGGCTACACGGGCGAGTCCTCCGTCCAGGCAGCCAGCTTCAATTGGCAGAAGAAGGAGATGAGCTGATCGTTCAAAAATCCATGAAATGACACAATCGTTTCACGTATCATGTTGGTCATGCGTGTTTGTTTTACAAGGTTTTTAGTACTTCGATTTTCGGGTGTATTTTGAGCGCTCTATTTTGGCATACCGTTTTCGAGTTGGCCAGCTTGCTCTGGGCAAGCGGCTGGCTAGCCCTCAAGCCGCGTCTCATAGGCCAGCGTTGTAAGCATGTCAGCGATTTGTGTGCAACGTGCACAGTGGTCGCGTCCGTTCTCATTGTCAGGTAAAGTTTCACACGAACATTTGGCCGACTGCCCAGCTTCGTATTTGACGCGCCGAGTGCAAATCAGACCTCTGATGGGGCAGGCGTTTGCCAGAACAAAAAACAAACTCCAGGACCCCATCCAGACGATCCCAGATGCCTTGGACATGGGCCCGGAGCGTTCCAGGACTCCAGGATTGTGTCTCGAGCGCCTGACTTCACACGACGGGTCGCGAGGGCCCAATCTTGCTACGAGACTGTCCCAGAGACCTCCCAGCGGACCCCCAAGAAACCTAAGACTGGCCCAAGAGGGTCTCCAAGAGGGATCTCGAGGCAGTCAAGAAGGCACCACAAGGAGGCAAAAAGCAACCCCAACACCGACACCTCGAGTCGTGCCCACCATTTTTGGACCCCAAGAGCCTCCCAGGCTCCCAGAGGCCTAAAATAAAGCGGAGAACCCGTCGGGATCCCCAGAACCGTCACAACAGACCTGCAAGATGCCACCCATTGCCCTCCCAGGAGATCTTACGAGGTATCTCGCGTGGGCCCGCTTCAGAGGCTCCCCAATGCTACGCCGCCGGGTCCGTCAGCAGAACGACTCGGAGTGACGTGTTGGTCCTGGGCCTGGGGTGCCCCCCCGGGGTGAGGACCCTTCCCCTTCCGTCTCAAACATGCGCGAGCGAAGCGCAAGAAAGGGCGGAGGAGGGAGGAGAAAGAGAAGGAGGAAGAGGAGGAGGAGGAGGAGGAGGAGGAGGAGGAGGAGGAGGAGGAGGAGGAGGAGGAGCAGGAGGATAGGGAGTGGATGCCGATAGTGGCGATGGAAGCGGTCGTGTCCGTGGTCGTGGCGGTAGCAGTAAAGGTCGTGGTAGTTTTTCCACAACTGGTGGTGACGTTGCAATAGTTAACCTACATAAATATAGGCGTACGAATCTACATGCACACATCTACCCGGGGAAGGATAATCAGGTATTTCAGGTCAAGAGAAAGCCAGGTCCACGAATTCCCAATTCGGGACCAGGCCCCGTCGGGTTTTGTCCAGACGGCCATGGAGGGTCCCAACATGTTTCGGGCCTAAGAGCGCCCAGTACTCCCAAGGTGGCTTCGAGACTGCCAACATGGCCCCCAAGACGCCCCGAGAGTGCTTCAATAGGATTCCCCAGAGGACGCTAACAGGCAAACCATGGCGCATCCCTTGAGCAAAACTTGTTGTTTTGTGTTTAGCGTGCTCGCTTGATGTATACTGACACAGTCCAAGACGATCCAGGAGGCCCCATTCAAGTCGCCTTCATGATAGCTCAGGAGGTCCTCAAGATGGCCCCAAAGGATCCGAGAGGGTTCCAAAAGGGACTAGGAGGTTCCAAGAGGTCCCTGAGAGCCCCTGAGAGGCCCCCCAAAGGGCCCCAAAGTGGACCTAGGCCCCCAAGAGGCCCGAAAGTCTTGGGCGCGCGGGCCCAAGTTCCGAACAGGGCGTGCCCGAACGCGCTTTGATTTCGAAGCCTGGCGCTGCTCGCGCCGTGGATCTAGCGATCTTCAGGGGATAGTTTCGCGTGGTGCGGCGTGCGTGCGGTCTGGATCAGCCCGTGCGCTGTGCGTGGTGTCGGGCAGCAGTGTCCCGCTGGCCGTCGTTCCCAACGATAGCTTGTTGCTGATCGCTTCTGGCGCTCGAAATGAAGCGTTGATGCACTGACGTGCAATGGCATGGCTAGGTCTTGACGGATGGTTCGTAGTGGCTTTCGGGGCCGCGGGAGTGTGTTGGTCATAATTTGGCCAGTTATCTGCTGCGCGTGTGCTGCGCGCTTGGTTGGACCTTCCCGCGCCTTGCGCACCTGCGCACCTGGCGCGCATGGCACGCCTGCCATTCCTGGGGCCAGTGGCGAGCTTGGCACAATTGGCGCCCCTGGTGCGGCTGGAGCAGCACATGGCGTGCTTCGCGCAGTGGGTGTATCTGGCGCACAAGCGGCACGCTTGGCACCTGGCGTGCCCGGCGCGTCAACGTGCCTGGCGCGGCCTCCCAGCGCCGCCTTCACCGCTGCCCCGATCCGCGCCACTACCGCCGCCGCCGCCGCCGCTTCGGCGCGCTCGAAAGAGCATTCGCGCGACCGACTCCCCGACGCGCCCGCCGCCAGCCCGCGTTTCGCACGGCCGCGTCCGGATGGCGCCCGGACAGATGGGCCAAAAGTGCACGGGGACGCCCCCGATTGGTGCCCGAATCGATACCCGAGTGAATGCGGTCGTCTTGGCGTGCCCGAGTCGGTCGCGGCATGGAGGGTGCCCCATGCGGTTTGTCCTTCTCCATTTGGGCGCATCATCTTTTCCATTCGGTCACATGATGGTTTCCGCTCGGTCGCATAATTGTGCATTCGGGCACATCGGCTCTTACACTGATTCAGTTGCACTAGGCGAAAAGCCCCGTTGGAATACAACCGTTTGAAATCGGGAACTGTGCCAGAACACCATCCCTGGGACTTCAACGCCGCGAATCACCGTTACTGCTGCGTTTTGGCGATCGTGAATCGTGTCAGAGCGCCGTTCCTGGGACTCCAACGCAGCGAATCAGCGTAACTGTTGCGCCTTGACATTCCGACATCGTACCATAACACCGTTTTTGGGACACCAGCCATGAGAATCCTTGAAACTCTTGTTGCGAATCCTTAAGACGAGTGCACGCGGCGCTAATGCGAGAGCCACGTGTTGAAAGCGAGCCACCCTCTATCCGTGAAGCTTTTGCAGATTTCAAGCTTCAGGATCATGGATGGTGAGGAAGGCTCAGGCGAAACGCCCGGCCCGCCCTGTCGACCGGCCTCGGGGTGCGACAGCAAGGCGTTCTTCATAAGCAACAGGAGCGGAGGATGATGATGATGAGGAGGAGGAGGCCACGAAACGTGTGAGGAGTGTGCCGAGATGGTGATGATGAGGATGCTGATGATGATGATGATGATGATGATGATGATGACGATGATGATGATGATGATGATGATGATGATGATGATGATGATGGTGATGAGGATGAGGATGAGGATGAGGATGAGGATGAGGATGCTGATGCTGATGCTGCTGATGATGATGATGATGCTGATGATGACGATGATGATGATGATGATGATGATGATGATGATGATGATGATGGTGGTGATGATGATGATGATGATTATGCTGAGAAGGAGGAGGACGATGATGATGATGATGATGATGATGATGATGATGATGATGATGATGATGATGGTGATGATGACGATGACGACGATGTGAGGAGGGAGAGTGGGGGGAGGAGCGGGATCGCGGGGCGTTGTCTCTTCAAAACGGGGACCCAACACCACAGGATGGTTGGGACAAACTCCAGGACTTCCCCTTCCGTATCCATTTTGGCTCAAGCCGTTTTGGCTGAAACAATTTTAGCACAAACCGCTGGCCGACCGTGCGAGTTCGGCTCGACCCTACCCGCGCCATGGCCCAACGCGCCTCGCTCGGGGCTGCCGCTGGCCTGGCGGCCGTCGTTTGTTTGAAGCAGGGCCAGTCCTTCGTGTCCTCGCAGGTTGCGCCCCTCGCCGCCGTCGAGGAGACGCTACAGGCTTCCCCTGCGCAGGCGGCCCCCGCCCTCCGCGGCGCCGCGCACGCCCAACAGCCCAGCCCCACGGGGAAAGCCGCGGCCCTGGCAGCGCCGGCGGCCGCTGCCGCCCTCGCCGCGGCGGTCGGGTCCAAGCGCCGCGGTCGCGCCAGCAAGCTGGCGGCGGGCCAGGCCTCGTGCGTTGTTCCGGTCCAATCGCGCGCCAGCGTGGCCCGCCGGGCCTTGGACCAGTCGAGCCGCTACGCGGACCTCTCGTTGACGGAGGAGGACCTGATCAAGAACGGCCAGCACGTGCTGGTGGCCTACATCATGAAGCCCAAGGCGGGTTACGACTACCTGGCCACCGCGGCGCACTTCGCGGCGGAGTCCTCCACCGGCACGAACGTGAACGTGTGCACCACTGACGACTTCACCAAGACTGTGGACGCGCTCGTTTACTACATTGACCCGGAGAACGAGGAGATGAAGATCGCCTACCCGACGGCCTTGTTCGACCGCAACATCACCGATGGCCGCGCAATGATGTGTTCCGTTTTGACTCTCAGCATCGGGAACAACCAGGGTATGGGTGACGTCGACTACGGCAAGATCTACGATATCTACTTCCCGCCGCAGTACCTGCGCCTGTTCGACGGGCAGTCGTGCTTGCGTGATCGACATGTGGCGCATTTTTTTCCCCTGGGGCCCGCGGCACGTCGGTGGTGGTCTGGTGGGTCGGCACCATTAGTAAGCCGAAGCTCGGCCCTGCAAGCCAACGCCCTTCGGCAAGGCGTGCTATGGCTCTGGCAGGGGGCCGAATTCATCAAGAACGATGAGCCGCAGGGCAACCAGACGTTCTGCCAGATGAACGAATGCATCCCCGAAGTCGTGAAGGCCATGCGCGCGGCCCAGGAGGAAACGGGCCAGGGCAAGTTGTTCTCCGCCAACATTACGGCGGATGACCCGAACGAGATGATCGCACGTGCCAAGTACATCTTGAACCAGATGGGCCCGATGGCGGAGAATTGTGCTTTCTTGGTCGACGGCTACGTGGCTGGCGGCACTGCGGTGACCGTTGCGCGCCGTAACTTCCCGAAGCAATTCCTGCACTACCACCGCGCCGGCCACGGCGCAGTGACCAGCCCGCAGACGCAGCGTGGGTACACCGCCTTCGTGCACACCAAGTTGTCGCGTGTCATCGGTGCCAGCGGAATCCACACGGGCACGATGAGCTTTGGCAAGATGGAGGGTGACGCTTCGGACAAGAACATCGGCTTCATGCTGCAAGACGACGTCGCCGACGGCCCGTACTACCGCCAGGAGTGGGAGGGCATGAAGCAGACCACCCCGATCATCTCGGGTGGCATGAACGCCTTGCGGCTGCCTGCGTTCTTCGAGAACCTGGGCCACTCGAACGTTATCCTGACGGCCGGCGGCGGCGCCTTCGGGCACAAGGACGGCCGAAGAAAAGGGCGCGATCTCGTGCCGCCAGGGCGAGGAGCGTGGAAATGTGGAAGGCAGGCACTACGGCGGCCAGTGAGATACTGTCGGACGGTGTCGCGAGTATGCGAAGACCGCAGGAGGAGATCAAGGGACCGCCCTTCGTCACGTTCCAGAAGGATGCGGACAGATATACCCGGGCTGAAGGAGAAGCTCGGCTACACGGGCGAGTCCTCTGTCCAGGCAGCCAGCTTCAATTGGCAGAAGAAGGAGTTGGCCGCGGCGTTCGTTGGCGCCAGCAAGACTCGCAAAGCGAGCTCTGTGACCCGCCAGGCCCTGGACCAGTCGAGCCGCTACGCGGACCTCTCGTTGACGGAGGAGGACCTGATCAAGAACGGCCAGCACGTGCTGGTGGCCTACATCATGAAGCCCAAGGCGGGCTACGACTACCTGGCCACCGCGGCGCACTTCGCGGCGGAGTCCTCTACCGGCACGAACGTGAACGTGTGCACCACCGACGACTTCACAAAGACTGTGGACGCGCTCGTTTATTACATCGACCCAGAGAATGAAGAGATGAAGATCGCCTACCCGACGGCCTTGTTACCGCAACATCACCGACGGCCGCGCCATGATGTGTTCCGTGCTGACTTTGAGCATCGGGAACAACCAGGGCATGGGTGACGTCGACTACGGAACGACTATGATATTATTCCCGCCGCCAGTTACCTGCGCATATTCGACGGGCCGTAGTGCTTGCGTGATCGACATGTGTCGTCATCCTGGGCCGCGGCACGGTCTTGGTGCGTCTGTGTGGTCGGGCACCATATTAGGCCGAAAGTCGGCCTGCAGCCGACGCCCTTCGCCCGGCGTGCTAGGCTTCTGGCAGGGCGGCGATCATCATAGAAAGTGAGCCGCAGGCAACCAGACGTTATGCCAGATGAACGAATGCAGCCGAAGTCGAGAAGGCATGCGCGCGGCCCAGGAGGGAAACGAGGCCAGGGCAAGTATGTTCTCGCCAACATTACGCGGATGACCGAAACGAGATGATCGCACGTGCCAAGTACATTTTGAACCAGATGGGCCCGATGGCGGAGAATTGCGCCTTCTTGGTCGACGGCTACGTGGCTGGCGGCACTGCGGTGACCGTTGCGCGCCGCAACTACCCGAAGCAATTCTTGCACTACCACCGCGCCCACCGCGCGGCCACGCGCAGTGACCAAGCCCGCAGAACGCAGCGCGGGGTACAACAGCACCTTCGTGCACACCAAAGTGTCGCGCGTCATTGTGCAGCGGCATCCACACGGGCACTGAGAGCTTTTTGGCAAGATGGGGGAGACGCTTCGGACAAGAACATCGGATTCATGCTGCGCTGCAAGACGACGTCGCCGACGGACCTACTACCGCCAGGAGGGGGAGGGCATGAAGCAGACCACCCCGATCATCTCGGGTGGCATGAACGCCCTGCGGCTGCCTGCATTCTTCGAGAACCTGGGGCACTCGAACGTTATCCTGACGGCCGGCGGCGGGGCTTTCGGGCACAAGGACGGGCCGAAGCAGGGCGCGATCTCGTGCGCCCAGGGCGAGGAGTCGTGGAAGTTGTGGAAGGCAGGCACCTACGGCGACGTGAGCCTGTCGGACGGTGTGGTCGAGTACGCGAAGACGCATGAGGAGCTCAAGGGCGCGTTCTTGACGTTCCAGAAGGACGCGGACAAGATCTACCCTGGCTGGAAGGAGAAGCTGGGCTACACGGCGAGTCTCTGTCAGGCAGCCAGCTTTTTTTTCTTTTTGTTATTTTTTTTTTTCTTCTTTTCTTTTTTTTTTTTTTTTTTTTTTTTTCTTTTTTTTTTTTTTGTTTTTTTTTTTGCTGGTTTCTTTTTTTTCGTTTTTTTTTTTTTTTCTTTTTGATTTTTTTTTTTTATTTTTTTTTTTTTTTTTGTTTTCTGTCTTTTTTTTTTTTTTTGTCTTGTTTTCTTTTTTTTTTTTTTTTTTTTTTTTATTTTTTTTTTTTTTATTTTCTTTTTTTTTTGGTTTTTTTTTTTTTTTTTTTTCAATTGGGCAGGAAGAAGGAGTTAGGACCCGGCGTTCGTTGGCGCCAGAAGACTAGCAAGCGAGCTCCGTGGCCCGCCGGGCCCAGGACCAGTCGAGCCGCTACGCGGACCTCTCGTTGACGGAGGAGGACCTGATCAAGAACGGCCAGCACGTGCTGGTGGCCTACATCATGAAGCCCAAGGCGGGCTACGACTACCTGGCCACCGCGGCGCACTTCGCGGCGGAGTCCTCTACTGGCACGAACGTGAATGTGTGCACCACCGACGACTTCACAAAGACTGTGGACGCGCTCGTTTATTACATCGACCCCGAGAACGAAGAAATGAAGATCGCCTACCCGACGGCCTTGTTCGACCGCAACATCACCGACGGCCGCGCTATGATGTGTTCCGTGCTGACTTTGAGCATCGGGAACAATCAGGGTATGGGTGACGTCGACTACGGCAAGATCTATGATATCTACTTCCCGCCGCAGTACCTGCGCCTGTTCGACGGGCCGTCGTGCTGCGTGATCGACATGTGGCGCATCCTGGGCCGCGGCACGGTCGGCGGTGGCCTGGTAGTCGGCACCATCATCAAGCCCAAGCTCGGCTTGCAGCCGAAGCCCTTCGGCCAGGCGTGCTATGGCTTCTGGCAGGGCGGCGACTTCATCAAGAACGATGAGCCGCAGGGCAACCAGACTTTCTGCCAGATGAACGAATGCATCCCCGAAGTCGTGAAGGCCATGCGCGCGGCCCAGGAGGAAACGGGCCAGGGCAAGTTGTTCTCAGCCAACATTACGGCGGATGATCCGAACGAGATGATCGCACGTGCCAAGTACATTTTGAACCAGATGGGCCCGATGGCGGAGAATTGCGCCTTCTTGGTCGACGGCTACGTGGCTGGCGGCACTGCGGTGACCGTTGCGCGCCGCAACTTCCCGAGCAATTCTTGCATCTCCACCGCGCCGGCCACGGTCCCGTGACCAATCCCGCAGACGCAGCGGGGCTACACTCGCCCTCGTGTAACAACACCAAGTTGTCGCGCGTCCTTGGTGCGGCAGCGGCATCCACAACGGGCATCTGCCAGGTCTGCAAGATGGAGGTGCGCCGCCTCCAGAAAGAACTCGGGATTCATGCTGCACGACGACGTCGCCGCGCCCCTACTACCGCAGGGATGGGAGGGCTGAGAAGCAGACCACCCCGATCATCTCGGGTGGCATGAACGCCTTGCGGCTGCCTGCGTTCTTCGAGAACTTGGGCCACTCGAACGTTATCCTGACGGCCGGCGGTGGGGCCTTCGGGCACAAGGACGGGCCGAAGCAGGGCGCGATCTCATGCGCCCAGGGCGAGGAGTCGTGGAAGTTGTGGAAGGCAGGCACCTACGGCGACGTGAGCCTGTCGGACGGTGTCGTCGAGTACGCGAAGACGCACGAGGAGCTCAAGGGCGCGTTCTTGACGTTCCAGAAGGATGCGGACCAGATATACCCGGGCTGGAAGGAGAAGCTCGGCTACACGGGCGAGTCCTCCGTCCAGGCAGCCAGCTTCAATTGGCAGAAGAAGGAGTTGAGTTGATCGTTCCAAGATCCATGAGGTGGCGCAATCGTTTCACGTATCATGTTGGTCATGCGTATTTGATTTACAAGGTTTTAGTAATTCAGTCTCGAGCGTATTTTGAGCGCTCTATTTTGGCATACCGTTTTCGAATCGGCCAGCTTGCTCTGGGCAAGCGGCTGGCTAGCACTCAAGCCGTGTCTCGTAGGCCAGCGTTGTAAGCATGTCAGCGATCTGTGTGCAACGTGCACAGTAGTCGCGTCCGTTCTCACTCTCAGTTAAGCTTTCACACGAACATTTTGCCGACTTCCCAGCTTCGTATTTGATGCGCCGAGTGCAATCAGACCTCTGATGGGGCGGGCGCTTGCCAGAACAAACAACAAACTCCAGGACCCCATCCAGACGATCCCAGAGGCCTTGGACATGGGCCCGGAGCGTTCCAGGACTGTGTCTCGAGCCCCTGACTTGACACGACGGGTCGCGAGGGCCCCAATCTTGCTACAAGACTGTCCCAGAGAGCTCCCAGCGGACCCCCAAGAAACCAAGACTGGCCCAAGAGGGTTTCAAAGAGGGATCTCGAGGCAGTCAAGAAGGCACCACGAGGAGGCAAAAAGCAACCCCAACACCGACATCTCGAGTCCTGCCCCCCATTTTTGGACCCCAAGAGCCTCCCAGAGGCCTAAAGTAAAACTGGGAGTCCGTCGGGATCCCCAGAACCGTCACAACAGACCTGCAAGATGCCACCCAGTGCCCTCCCAAGAGATCTTATGAGTTATCTCGCGTGGGTCCGCTTCAGAGGCTCCCCAATGCTATGCCGCCGGGTCCGTCGGCAGAACGACTCGGAGTGACGCGTTGGTCCTGGGGTGCCCCCTGGGGTGTGGACCCTTCCCCTTCCGTCCCAAACATGCGCGAGCGAAGCGCAAGAAGAAGCGGAGGAGGGAGGAGAAAGAGAAGGAGGAGGAGGAGGAGGAGGAGGAGGAGGAGAAAGAGGGGTAGGAGGAGGAGGAGGAGCAGGAGGATAAGGAGTGGATGCCGATAGTTGAGATGGAAGCGGTCGTGTCCGTGGTCGTGGCAGTACCGGTAAGGGTTGTGGCTGCCTTACCACAACCGGTGGTGGCGTTGCAATAGTTCTTTGAATTAAGCCAGCCCGCGACGCGCGCGTATTCAAATACTTGTATTCTATATAGATGTATATATGTATTTGCACATGTATATCTATATATATAGGTCTTCATGATAGCTCAGGAGGTCTTCAAGAAGGCCCCAAAGGATCCGAGAGGGCTCCAAAGAGGTCCCTAAGAGCCCCTGAGAGGCCCCCCAAAGGGCCCCAAAGTGGACCTAGGCCTCCAAGAGTCCCGAAAGTCTTGGGCGCGCGGGCCCAAGTTCCGAACAGGGCGTGCCCGAACGCGCTTTGATTTCGAAGTCTGGCGCTGCTCGCGCAGTGGATCTAGCGATCTTCAGGGGATAGTTTCGCATGGTGCGGCGTGCGTGCGGTCTGGATCAGCCCGTGCGCTGTGCGTGGTGTCGGGCAGCAGTGTCCCGCTGGCCGTCGTTCCCAACGATAGCTTGTTGCTGATCGCTTCTGGCGCTCGAAATGAAGCGTTGATGCACTGACGTGCGATGGCATGGCTAGGTCTTGACGGATGGGTTCATGGAGGCTTTCGGGGCCGCGGGAGTGTGTTGGTCATGATTTGGCCAGTTATCTGCTGCGCGTGTGCTGCGCGCCTGGTTGGACCTTCCCGCGCCCTGCGCACCTGCGCACCTGGCGCGCATGGCACGCCTGCCATTCCTGGGGCCAGTGGCGAGCTTGGCACAATTGGCGCCCCTGGTGCGGCTGGAGCAGCACATGGCGTGCTTCGCGCAGTGGGTGTATCTGGCGCACAAGCGGCACGCTTGGCACCTGGCGTGCCCGGCGCGTCAACGTGCCTGGCGCGGCCTCCCAGCGCCGCCTTCACTGCTGCCCCGATCCGCGCCACTACCGCCGCCGCCGCCGCCGCCGCTTCGGCGCGCCCGAAAGGGCATTCGCGCGACCGACTCCCCGACGCGCCCGCCGCCAGCCCGCGTTTCGCACGGCCGCGTCTGGATGGCGCCCGGACAGATGGACCAAAAGTGCACGGGGCCGCCCCCGATCGGTGCCCGAATCGATGCCCGAGTGAATGCGGTCGTCTTGGCGTGCCCGAGTCGGTCGCGGCATGGAGGGTGCCCCATGCGGTTTGTCCTTCTCCATTTGGGCGCATCATTTTTTCCATTCGGTCACATGATGGTTCCCGCTCGGTCGCATGACTGTGCATTCGGGCACATCGGCTCTTACACTGATTCAGTTGCACTAGGGGAAAAGCCCCGTTGGAATACAACCGCTTGAAATCGGGAACTGTGCCAGAACACCATCCCTGGGACTTCAACGCCGCGAATCACCGTTACTGCTGCGTTTTGGCGATCGTGAATCGTGTCAGAGCGCCGTTCCTGGGACTCCAACGCAGCGAATCAGCGTAACTGTTGCGCCTTGACATTCCGACATCGTACCATAACACCGTTTTTGGGACACCAGCCATGAGAATCCTTGAAACTCTTGTTGCGAATTCTTAAGACGAGTGCACGCGGCGCTAATGCGAGAGCCACGTGTTGAAAGCGAGCCACCCTCTATCCGTGAAGCTTTTGCAGATTTCAAGCTTCAGGATCATGGATGGTGAGGAAGGCTCAGGCGAAACGCCCGGCCCGCCCTTCGCCGCCGGGTCACGGGTGCGACATCAAGGCGTTCTTTCATAGCACCGGTAGCCGGAGGATGATGATGAGGAGGACGAGAAGCCACGAAACGTGTGAGGAGTGTGCCTAGATGGGGATGATGAGGATCTGATGATGATGAGGAGAAGGATTAGGATGAGGATGAGGATGAGGATGATAAGATGATGAATGGGAGAGGATGGAGGATGAGATGAAGGATGCAGGATGAGGGATGAGGATGCATATGATGATGATGATGATGATGATGATGATGCTGATGAGAATGATTAGATGATCATAATGATTGATGATGATGATGCTGATGATGATGATGATGGACGATGCTGTGCTGATGATGATGCATGATGGCTGATGATTATGATGATGATGATGAGGATGATGATGATGCTGAGGAGGAGGAGGAGGAGGAGGAGGAGGAGGAGGAGGAGGAGGAGGAGGAGGACGATTATGATGATGGTGATGATGACGATGACGACGATGTGAGGAGGGAGAGTGGGGGTAGGAGCGGGATCGCGGGGCGGTGTCTCTTCAAAACGGGGACCCAACACCACAGGATGGTTGGGACAATCTCCAGGACTTCCCCTTCCGTATCCATTTTGGCTCAAGCCGTTTTGGCTGAAACAATTTTAGCACAAACCGCTGGCCGACCGTGCGAGTTCGGCTCGACCCTACCCGCGCCATGGCCCAACGCGCCTCGCTCGGGGCTGCCGCTGGCCTGGCGGCCGTCGTTTGTTTGAAGCAGGGCCAGTCCTTCGTGTCCTCGCAGGTTGCGCCCCTCGCCGCCGTCGAGGAGACGCTACAGGCTTCCCCTGCGCAGGCGGCCCCCGCCCTCCGCGGCGCCGCGCACGCCCAACAGCCCAGCCCCACGGGGAAAGCCGCGGCCCTGGCAGCGCCGGCGGCCGCTGCCGCCCTCGCCGCGGCGGTCGGGTCCAAGCGCCGCGGTCGCGCCAGCAAGCTAGCGGCCGGCCAGGCCTCGTGCGTTGTTCCGGTCCAATCGCGCGCCAGCGTGGCCCGCCGGGCCTTGGACCAGTCGAGCCGCTACGCGGACCTCTCGTTGACGGAGGAGGACCTGATCAAGAACGGCCAGCACGTGCTGGTGGCCTACATCATGAAGCCCAAGGCGGGCTACGACTACCTGGCCACCGCGGCGCACTTCGCGGCGGAGTCCTCTACCGGCACGAACGTGAACGTGTGCACCACCGACGACTTCACAAAGACTGTGGACGCGCTCGTGTACTACATCGATCCTGAGAACGAGGAGATGAAGATCGCCTACCCGACGCTTTGGTTCGACCGCAACATCACACCGGACGGGGTTGGGCGCCCATGATGTGTTCACCGTGCTGACTTTGAGCATCGGGTGCGAGCCAGGGATGGGGTGAAGTCTGACTACGGCAGATTTGTATGATATTTATTTCCCGCCGCAGTACCTTCGCCTTTTCGACGGGCCGTCGTGCTGCGTGATCGACATGTGGCGCATCCTGGGCCGCGGCACGGTCGGTGGTGGTCTGGTTGTCGGCACCATTATTAAGCCGAAGCTCGGTCTGCAGCCGAAGCCCTTCGGCCAGGCGTGCTATGGCTTCTGGCAGGGCGGCGACTTCATCAAGAACGATGAGCCGCAGGGCAACCAGACTTTCTGCCAGATGAACGAATGCATCCCCGAAGTCGTGAAGGCCATGCCGCGCGGCCCAGGAGGAAACGGGCCAGGGCAAGTTGTTCTCCGCCAACATTACGGCGGATGACCCGAACGAGATGATCGCACGTGCCAAGTACATTTTGAACCAGATGGGCCCGATGGCGGAGAATTGCGCCTTCTTGGTCGACGGCTACGTGGCTGGCGGCACTGCGGTGACCGTTGCGCGCCGCAACTTCCCGAAGCAATTCTTGCACTACCACCGCGCCGGCCACGGCGCAGTGACCAGCCCGCAGACGCAGCGCGGGTACACCGCCTTCGTGCACACCAAGTTGTCGCGCGTCATTGGTGCCAGTGGCATCCACACGGGCACGATGAGCTTTGGCAAGATGGAGGGCGACGCTTCGGACAAGAACATCGGATTCATGCTGCAAGACGACGTCGCCGACGGCCCCTACTACCGGCAGGAGTGGGAGGGCATGAAGCAGACCACCCCGATCATCTCGGGTGGCATGAACGCCTTGCGGCTGCCTGCGTTCTTCGAAAACTTGGGCCACTCAAACGTTATCCTGACGGCCCGCAGTGGGGCCTTACGGGCACAAGGAACGGGCCGAGCAGTGGGCGCGACTCGGTGCGCCCAGGCGAGATCGTGGATGTTGTGGAGGCAGGCATCTTACGGCGACGTGAGCCTGTCGGCCGGTGGGTCAGGATGCGAGGGAGACGCCGAGGGAAGACTCAAGGCGCACGTTCTTGACGTTCCGAAGGATGCGGGACGGGGGTGAAGGGCAGATCTACCCCTTGCTTGAAGGGGAAGCTCACGGCTACACGGGTTAGTCCTCTGTCCAGGCAGACAGCTTCAACTGCAGAAAAGGAGTTTGGCCGCGGCGTTCGTTGGCGCCAGCAAGGCTCGCAAAGCGAGCTCTGTGACCCGCCAGGCCCTGGACCAGTCGAGCCGCTACGCGGACCTCTCGTTGACGGAGGAGGACCTGATCAAGAACGGCCAGCATGTGCTGGTGGCCTACATCATGAAGCCCAAGGCGGGCTACGACTACCTGGCCACCGCGGCGCACTTCGCGGCGGAGTCCTCTACCGGCACGAACGTGAACGTGTGCACCACCGACGACTTCACAAAGACTGTGGACGCGCTCGTGTACTACATCGATCCTGAGAACGAGGAGATGAAGATCGCCTACCCGACGGCTTTGTTCGACCGCAACATCACCGACGGCCGCGCCATGATGTGTTCCGTGCTGACTTTGAGCATCGGGAACAACCAGGGCATGGGTGACGTCGACTACGGCAAGATTTATGATATTTATTTCCCGCCGCAGTACCTTCGCCTTTTCGACGGGCCGTCGTGCTGCGTGATCGACATGTGGCGCATCCTGGGCCGCGGCACGGTCGGTGGTGGTCTGGTTGTCGGCACCATTATTAAGCCGAAGCTCGGTCTGCAGCCGAAGCCCTTCGGCCAGGCGTGCTATGGCTTCTGGCAGGGCGGCGACTTCATCAAGAACGATGAGCCGCAGGGCAACCAGACGTTCTGCCAGATGAACGACTGCATCCCCGAAGTCGTGAAGGCCATGCGCGCGGCCCAGGAGGAAACGGGGCAGGGCAAGCTGTTCTCCGCCAACATTACGGCGGATGACCCGAACGAGATGATCGCACGTGCCAAGTACATCTTGAACCAGATGGGCCCGATGGCAGAGAATTGCGCCTTCCTGGTCGACGGATACGTGGCTGGCGGCACTGCGGTGACCGTTGCGCGCCGCAATTTCCCGAAGCAATTTCTGCACTACCACCGCGCTGGCCACGGCGCAGTGACCAGCCCGCAGACGCAGCGCGGGTACACCGCCTTCGTGCACACCAAGTTGTCGCGCGTCATCGGTGCCAGCGGCATCCACACGGGCACGATGAGCTTTGGCAAGATGGAGGGCGACGCTTCGGACAAGAACATCGGCTTCATGCTGCAAGACGACGTTGCCGACGGCCCCTACTACCGCCAGGAGTGGGAGGGCATGAAGCAGACTACCCCGATCATCTCGGGTGGCATGAACGCCTTGCGGCTGCCTGCGTTCTTCGAGAACCTGGGCCACTCGAACGTTATCCTGACGGCCGGCGGCGGGGCCTTCGGGCACAAGGACGGGCCGAAGCAGGGCGCGATCTCGTGCGCCCAGGGCGAGGAGTAGTGGAAGTTGTGGAAGGCAGGCACCTACGGCGAC